ACTGCATTGGTCATTGGCGTTCGTGGATGTTGGCATTGGGCATGGGCATTCAATCAGAAGTTGTCAAGTATTGTACCCGTTTGGCAACGAGCACATTTTTGGGCATAGCCAACCAGGGTTTTCACATGGGCGTTCAGGGGCGGATGGGCCAACGTCATGGTGGGCAACGCAGGGGTAAGTCGATCCAGTACATGGGCAACGGAGATATATGGCCAAAAAAACAAGGAGAGGGAAAAGGGGGAAAAGCAATAAATTTTAATTTAATACAAACTATACTCATACTCTCAATTAATGAAACAAGCTTAAGTTGTTCTGAAGACTAACACAATAATGGACTTCTCTATACCTGACTGTGGCTTAACATTTAAGGACCTTAAATTGATGGTTCTAGTTTTGTTTTTGTTTTTTTAAAAAATGTTTCAGTAGCAGGCTGGCTCGTGAGGGTAGACACAAAACCTGTCATGACTCAAAAGTTTACTGAAATTCTTGAGGAAAATGGGGGAAATAACCCAGATAATTATACAGAACATCTGGATTAAGAGGAGAAAGAGGTTCAAAGACAAAACAAAAATTCCCACACCAAACCCCCAACTAGTAAGACTGTTTTGGTTTCATGAGGTGTCAAACACAATCCTGTATCTCAAAAGCAGGCTTATAAAAATTAAAACAAAATTTAAAGTTTATAGCAATAAAGAGAAACATGAAGATCTGTTACCGAGAGAAATGAAATACTACTGTTAGGTACTCCACACAGCTATTCGCCTCTATTTTACTAAGTAAGGAAATTTTGATATAATCAAGGTCTAGAAATACACACACACTTCCGGTGCTGCCAACATTTAATGTGTCTAATCACAAGAGTCAACCCACTATAAATTATGAAGACTCAAATTATAGGCAGATAGCTCGACTGGCAAGATTATTATTTATTCATGTTTAAAAATCAGTTAACATTAGCTCTATGTTGCAAGCTGTGGAACAGATAGTCTTTTTTTAAAAGAAAATAAAAATTGTTTTAATCAGCCATCCATGATGGCGTTGAGTAATACAGATTCCCTCTCTCTATCGCACACACACACAAGAGGAATGATGCAATTAAGGGTTTTCACACATTGTCTCTATTTCTAATTAAGATGTTTTGTCTTATTTGAAAGAGAACTAATTTGAAGGGCCTTCCCATAAAATGAAAAGATTTAATTATATATGTTCCACCATCAGAGCTTTTAAAAAAAGAATAGGAATCCTCTATACGACCATTAATTATTACAAATGGTTGTAGCTACAGTGACTTCTAAGATGTGATCCTTTAAAATTCTAGAAACAGACAACGAATTTGTTTGTTTAGTAGTTTAATACTTACGTCTGTACGCAGAGCCTTAATGTTCTTGCCTCCTTTCCCAATCACCGCACCAGCATTCTGAAAGACAAAAAAATTACTGTGCATTTCCATAAAATTGGTATTCCTACCTGTATTTTTAAACTTTAACAACGAAGTCTGCACACGACAGAGAATCTACTTAAGAGTGAGGGAAACCAAGATTCTATTTACTGAGTATGAGATATTTTACAATACATCACTGGAATATTTATAACACCAAACATGTGTAAAGTTCCTAGAAAGTGCAGAATATCTTTACCAGTGCTATCTTGTGAAAACCAGGCCAAAATCTATTCAGCAAACTTTTATACTGTAACTTGAGCAAAGTTATAAGGTAACCAAAATCAAACTAGTTCCCAGGGGAAATAAAACTTTCAATGCCCAGAGTCCCGCTCATACTTCAAAGACATCTGTGGCAACCCTGTAATAAGGCTTTCACACCTTCAGAACTTGAGCACTACCAAGAATTCACAAGTCTGCTTATAAAGAGCCAAACCAACTAACTCATGGTTAGTGTCCATCTGTTCTGCCAGCAATCAAGGGCAGAGGACAGATGGATAAAGCGCTAAGGCCAGCCTCACCAATGAAATCTTTCAAACTTTCATTCAATGTGGAAAGTTCTAAAAGTGTTCCTGGGATTCAAATTAGGGCTTAGAATAAAATACTGTAGTTTTAAGGACAAAATTTAAATATCCAAAATTCAAAAAGTTGTATTTGTACCTTGCTCTGAAGCAAAATGCGCAGTTCAACCATCTCATCAGTATTTCTAGATCTTTTAAAGGCTTGCTCCTCTTCCATATCTTCTGCAGGGCGTTTACCTACAAATTAAGTTCATATTTTGAATTAGAAATATCCTCAAGTAAATGTATTTTAAAATACACTTTATAAAATCCCTGCTGTTTTCCTGGTCTTTCCCCTTTGCAACAAAGATCATAATACTTCAAAGGATTAAAAATTTGGATGAAAACAATTTGTACTGGCTGTTACCTGTGCAAGACAGGGTTACTTCTTGTTCATTAAAACCAAGATTTAACAGAATCTCAAAACTACAGAATTTTATAGTAAGAGGTAACCACAGCACGCTCAGAAAGCTACTGTCACAATGAAACTAACAATATATTCATAAACTGCTTATAATTAAAATATCTTCTCACCAAATTCACCATTGGTTTCAGTGTTGGGGAAAGTTTCTTCTGGCTGCTCGGTCTCCATTTTCTTGAATTAAATGGATACACCAACCTGTAGAAAAATAAAGAAGCTAGTACATTTGGCTTATTGGAAAAAGCAAACACTATTTTGCTTAAAATCTTTAAAAGGGACCGTGCTTCCAGAACACACACACAGCTTTGCAACGCTGAACTGACACCGCAGAGCCGCAGCAGCCTATAAAAACCAACACAAATCAACTGCACTTTTCCTTTTATTATTCAATACTAATATTGGGTCGCAAGTCTGATTTGAGGAAGCCGGCTGTTCCTTCCTACTCTAAAAAATTCAGGCGAGGAACAAGTGTGGTGGATTGCTTTTGGATTGTCTCAATGAAACACAACAGCTCAACTCACTACCATGAAATGAAAAATTTCCCCCAAGGAATTCAGTAATCGCGTCCTCAACAACTTACTTCATATCATTACAACTGGAAAGTCAACTGCCCTAAGATTTTGTTCACAAAACTAATTCTGGGAAAGACTGCACCGTAGCACAAAATTAGTGTTATTGTAAGACCAGTAAGTAACTGAAATTATTGTGGCTGTTTGCGAATGTCAACACCACTTCAATGACATTTGCCAAGTTTACAAATATAACGGCAAATACAAGCTGCTTTTCAACGTCCACAGGGAACAATCTAAAGCCCTGACAAGACAGACTCAAACCAGCGCCATTCTCCAGCAAAGCCAGCGGAACCTTCAACCACCACCACTCACTACGATTGTAAACGGTGCTTTAAAAAGGCACCCAACAATTTCACCTCTAATACAGCTCTTAAAGACTACAGCCAAAGCGACACAATTGGTCCGGTCCTCTCGTGGCCGTACCACGCGAACAGCCAGCACAACAAAGCTGAGGCCGAAACCCACTTACGCCTCCTCCACCCCCGAGCGCCGGCTGCTAGCGTCGCTAAGGGCGGCTCGAGGACCCGCCGCTCGGCTCGCTCTGCAGCCACGACCGCAAATGGATGCAGGCGCGGACGACAGCAGGGTCGACCGATAAGAGTCGAGCCCACGTCCGCGAAAGCCGAGCGGGATCGGCCGCGCGGAAGCTCGCGCCGTCCCCCTGCTCACGGTCCGCTCCGGCCCTCCCCTCCCGGGCTCGGCCGGTGGCCTAGCGGAGCAGCGCCCGCCTCCCTCCCTCTCTCCTCACCCGGATCCGACAGGAAATGGCGGCCCGCGTAATGGCGACTACGTGCGACTAGGCGGCGCCGCGCGAGCGAGACCCCCTCCCCCACCCACCCAGCACGCGGGCCCGCGAGCTCAGCCCCCGCACCTCCCCCCACCGCCCGCCCGCTCGAGACAAAGCGGCGGCTCCCGTTCCATCGGGGTCCCGGCTGAGGAGAGACTCCCGCATCCCCGCGCCGCTCCCACCCCGGGCGCCCCTCGGCTCCGACCCCCGGGCCTCCGCTCACGAGCTCCCCAGAGTCTCCGGCGGCGGCAGCAGCGGCGCGCACGCCAACTGCAGAGGCACGCTCGGGGAAATGGCGGCCGTGGGGGAGGGGAGCCCGGGCAACGTTCCCCGGCGGGCGGGGGACCAAGCGCCGGCCCGAGCCCTTCCCGACAGCAGCGCCACAGCTCCGGCCCCGCTCTCCGCCGCGCGCGCCGCTCGCCCGGCCCCCGGAGCTCACCGCGCCGAGTCCGCCGTTGCCTCCCGGCCGCCGCACCGCACCGCCTCCTACGGTCGGTCCCTGCTCCAGACAGAGGCCGAGGACCCACCCCCTCCCGCCTCGGCGCCGCGCCCCATTGGCTGCCCGGGCGTCTGCGGTGGCGCGAGCGCGCGGAGATTGGCCCCCGGCCGCGTCAATGACGGCGCCCAGAACCCCGCCTCCCGCCGGCGACTCCCTTCGGGCTGGCAGGCCGCGGGGCCTGGGACAACCCACCCGGGCTGGGACGCCCTCCGGAGCAACCCGCCGTCCCGCGGCGCCCGCCCGTTCCCCAGACCCGCCGCTTCCCCACGGCCCGGTCCCCTCCGACACCTACGTGAGGGGCCGCAGGCGAGCGGGAGGCGAGCACGACGGCGACGTCCGTGCAGCGGAGGCACAGAGGATAATGGCGTCTGCAGCGCTGTCGCCCGGAGCGCCCTCCTCCTCTCTCGTTCGCGCACTCTGTCGCGAGGGGGAGGGGGGGGAGGGACGGCGCTCTCGCGAGACTTGCCACGGGCGCTCACGTGTGCCGCGGAGGGGGCGGCGCCTGGGCGTTTGCGAGCCCCGAGGGGGTGGCTGCGGGTCTGGAGGAGGGACGGCCGCGCGCCGCGAGGTGGGCGGTAGGAAGTGGAAGCGGGAGGGGAAAGAGCCCGCGAACGGGAGAAGGAGCGCGCGGCGGTGCCTCGCCGGGCCGGGGAGCCCACGGTTGTGGCGACACGAGGCGGGATGGCCAGGTCGGTGATCGGCCGGGGTTCCACAGCTCCCCGTCGCGGCTCGCTAGCTCCCAGTGCCGCGGTTCTGCGCGCCCCTCCGCCGGGCCCGGGAAACCCGCTGTGCTAACGGCCCGGTCCGGGCGGGAGGGCGGGCGGACGCCGCGGCCCGGGAGGGGCGCCGGCCTGGCGAGGCCTTCAGGTCGCTGTAACTGACCCAAGTCACTTTCGCCTTGGCCCCGTAAAATGTAGAGCGCAGAACACGACGTAGGCCCCCGCGCGTCGGGGCAGCACTCCTTCCCCCGCAGGAAGCTCGCGGGCGGTGTGGCCGCCCGACCTGGGGAAGAGCCGGCTTCGGTAGTTCCCTCGATTCTCACCCACTGCTCCAGACTCTTGCTGGGACGGCAAGATGTTGGTCTCTGGAAGCTAATCAGTGAGGCTTCCTTGCTGGTCCACCCGTGTCCTGACCCTTGAATGATCTCAGGATATCTATGCCTGCATCCTTCTAAGGATCGCTATTTATGGTCGTTGCGTTATCTTTTACTTACTTGGCAGAGGAAAACTGGGAATTGAGGATTTGGTGAGGCTTGAAGTGCGGGTGGACGTAAGAAAGGTTTTGAGATAGCCTATGTAGCTCTGTCTGCGACGGAATTTATTACGTAGACGAGCCTGGCTTCGAACTCACAGATATAATATACTCCTGCCTCTCAGATGAAGAGATCAAAGGTGTGTGCCGCCACACCTGACCCACAATTTTTAATTGTTTTTTTTTTTTGAGACAGGGTCTCACTCTGTGACTCGTAAAGATCCTCCTGCCTCTGCCTCCCAAGGGCTGGAATTAAAGGCATACTCACAACCCCCAGCTAAAATTAGTATTTCTATTGCGCCTTTTTTTTTTCTAACCTGTAACCAGTGATGAGTGTGAATCCAAAGGAAATTACTGGAACTATCTTGAGTAGACGCTAGTGGAAAGTTACTTTCTCCAAACTCAGCTATACTTATTTGGTTTTGTCTTTTTAGGTTTCCTCTTTGTGTAACTGAAAGTTTGCCTCGCCTCCATCTTCCATTTTCTCTTTGAAGTTGGACGTTTTCAGTTCATTATTAAAACCCCTGCTCAGGACTGGATGTACAGCTCTGTGGCATGGCCCTGGATTTGGGCACTGTGACAGTCCTCTTCATTTAGTGACACCCGGGTACATGAGGGGTTAATGGTTAAATTGTATAGGCTAATGTTTTAGAGCCCTTACTTAACTGGGATTTAATATAATTGTAACTGTACAGGAGCTAGCTGGAATAATATTTAAAATACTATAGGTACCATATCCCGAGTTCTCTACTGAATGCCAGACTTTGTACTGGCAGTTAAATGCTATTACAGTACTTTGAGTAAATTGTGGTTATCTTTGTTTTGTGTTCCTGTCTTTAATCCTAGCAGTTGAGAGGCAGAAACTGGTGGATTTGTGAGTTCGAGGTCAGCCAAGGGCTGTCTCAAGAAACAAAACAAACACTAAAAACCTGGCGGTGGGGGGGGGGGGTGGGGATGAGAGGAATTGGTGAGCTTGTGGCTCCTGCTGAGGCCTTGCTTGATGATGTAAATTCTGTCACCAGAAGGCCTGTGGTGGAAGGAGAGAGCCAACTCTCAATCTGTCTCTAATCTCCACGTGAATCTACACACACACAATGTAAAAAGTACTGAGGATAAGAACCATATCCAAGGCCACATAACAGCTGGGTTGTAGACTCCTAAATGGAATTTTCTTTCATGTTTCCTTTTATTGGGTTTTGGGGGATGCACAGACAGCTCTTACTATTCTTACTTTATGTCAACCATAATATAACATCCCCCCACCCCCACCCCAGACAGGGTTTTTCTGTGTAACAAGTCCTGGCTGTCCTTGAACTCACTCTGTAGACCAGGCTGTCCTCGAACTCACAGAGATCCACTTGCCTCTGCCTCCTGAGTGCTGGGGTTAAAGGCGTGCGCCACCACTGCCCAGACAATAAAACAATTTTTCATCCCTGATTTTTTTGAAGTACCTTTTCAAAATTCTGAAATTCTTTGAAGTCTTTAACAAGTTAAAGTGGGTTTAAAGAGTAAATGCTTTAATTACGTTGTGAGAGAGAGACTAGAAGTGGAAGCCAGAAGGCAGCCTTGTGGAGGAGTTGGCTCTCTGATCGGCCGTGTGGGACAGTAGCAATGGGCTCAGTCATTACACTTAGTGGCAGGCACCTTTATCTTGCTGGCCCAACTTTTATTTTTTAAATAATACCCTTAAAGTGGATGTAGATTTTTGTTGGTGCTTTAGAATCTCAGCTATTGGTTGGGAGTCACATATACCATCTAGGGATGCTGCTTTCCTGTTAAAAATATTTGAAGCTGATTGATAATTAATCATTGAGCCAGCTATGCCTAAGCCTTAGTGACAAGTAATGGAACCTTCCTGCTTTATTCTCTTCTGATCATTCCTAGTAGTTGGGATTTAGAATGAAGATTTGCACGGACATACAAATCTATCAGGCACAAAGGTTAATGCAAATATTTTTTTTTCTTACTGTAAAAGCAGGGAGGGTTAAGTTCTGTAATTTTGTATGTGGCTACTATACTAAGAAAACATGAACACATTTTCATGTCATTAAGTAGTCCCTAAAAACCTCTTCAGAGCTGGGTATGGTGGCGCATACCTTAATTCCAGCATTTGGAAGGCAGAGACAGATGGATCTCCAGGTTTGAGGCCAGCCTGGTCTACAAAGTGAGTTCCAGAATAGCTAGGGCACTTATACAGAGAACCTTGTCTAAAAAGAAGAAAAGAAAGGGTTCGGAGGTTCAGAGTATCTGATGCTCTTCCAGAGGACTGGAGTTTACTCAACTCCTCGCCTCTTTGGCACCTGCACTCGTGCATATGCCCAGGCATACTCAACATTTTTAAAAATCTAAGATTACACAGCTTTCTATTTCATGAACATGATGCAATTTTTTTCTAGATAACATTCAGAATCCCTCTAATATAAAAACATGAACTTTGACATGATTGTTCTCATATCTTTTTTCTTTTTCCTCTAGTCTTCCCTTTCCCCCTTTAGTAAGTCCTAGAGATTGAACCCAGGGTCCCAGAGCTAGCTATATCTTGTTCTTGCCTTTATCTTTATTTCTAATTGGGTGTGTTTTCCTGTTTGTTTTTGGAAACAGGGTTTCTCTGTGTAATGGCCCTGGCTGTTCTGGAACACAGAAATCCACCTGCCTCTGCCTCCTGAGTACTGGGGATTAAAGTCGTGCGCCACCATGTTTGGTTTTGATTGTTCTTTTAATATTGGTTCTAGAAAGTTAGAATGTGTGTTACAAGTTAACGTTCAGTTTAAGAGACATCTTTTCCAAAGTTGTTTCTCTTCCTGTATTGAGGGGTTCTTAAGACTCTGCGGCTGTTGTCTATCAGCTAATGGGAAATTGTGCCATCCTAGCTAGCCTTTCCTTCTGAGCTGTTACCTGCTGTGACTATGGTAATAGAATTCTATAGGAGTGGGGGTGTGTCTTACCAAAAGCAGGTGGGGTCCTGGGCTAAACTATCTGCTATGCTTGCCTTCTTCAAGGTGGCTCGGCAGATCAGGGCACTGGCCACCCAGTTTGAAACCCTAGTTTTGTCCCCAGAACCCACCTGGTAGGAGAGAACCAACTCCTGCAAGTTGTGCAAACTTCTGCATGGGAGCCGGGTGATAGTGGCGCACGCCTTTAATCCCAGCACTCGGGAGGTAGAGGCAGGCGGATCTCTGTAAGTTCGAGACCAGCCTGGTCTACAAGAGCTAGTTCCAGGACAGGCTCCACAGCCACAGAGAAACCCTGTCTCGAAAAACCAAAAACCAAAAAAAAAAAAAAAAAAAAAAAACTTATGCATGGGTACCGTGGTATAGATGCGCTCCCTCCAGACATACAAGTGATGGTAGTATGTTACAGTTTCCTCTGAACCGCTCCATCACACACTTCACTAATTTACTTTATTAATTCTCTTCTACCGTACTTTCACGACCCATTGGGTTTACAAATGAAATGAGGAAACAGGTCTAAAAGGAGTAACTTTCTCTCAACAGCTTGTTTCTGTTTATCTCACCCTATTCTCCCCTTCCCTTCCCCCTGCAACACAGTGTTTCTCAGTGGAGTCTGGATGTTCTCGAACTAACTTTGTAGACCAGGCTGGCCTTGAACTCACAAAGAGTCTCTGTTCATTTCTAGCCTATATTGTTTCCGTTTTATCTTGACTGTTAGGGAGTCCCCAGAACTATACAATCATACTCTTAGATTCATGGAAATAGGACAATGAGTCTTTAATTCGTTTTCGAATCCTTACTGCTGCTTGTCTTTCCAGGGTCCTTTCTCTGTAATAGAGGCTTTGAGTACTCCACTGGGCACCTAGCTTGAAATCCTGTCATCAGAGTTCATGCTGTTCTGTGAAGTAAGTTTTCTTATGGACATGTTAGACCTTAAATAAGTTCTGTCTCTTTAGTGTCTTCATCTCTAGAAGGAACAGATATTGTGTGTGTGTGTGTGTGTGTGTGTGTGTGTGAGAGAGAGAGAGAGAGAGAGAGAGAGAGAGAGAGAGAGATTTGTCTTTAGTACTTTGCTATTGTATTATACTGAGAGGTTTATTTTTTGTTTGTTGTGTTTTGGTTTTTTGGGACAGGGTTTCTTTGTGGCTTTGGAGCCTGTCCTGGAACTCACTCTGTAGACCAGGCTGGCCTTGAACTCACAGAGATCCACCTATCTCTACCTCCCAAGTGCTGGGATTAAGGGTATGTACCACTACCACCCCTCTGAGAAAATCAGATTTAAATGTTACTGACAACACAGTTGAGAATATTTAGGAAAACAAGACTTCTCAATATCTGCCCAGAGAGGTAGGTAGCCAACCATACATATATAAATTTTAATTGTAAAAGTACACAGTTAAGTATAGCTTTCAAAAGAACCTAGTGAACATTATTTAAGTAAAATTTAAATTAATAGAGTATGATTATTTGGAGAATCATGATGGCCTTAGTGACCACTGCAACCTGAGCGTCAGGCTCCAGGTCTCGGCAGTGACTGAGGCAGCTGAAGCTTCGGCCAGGGCCTTGATTTTTCCCTAGAATGAGAGCTCTGGTGCCCTTGCAGCCTGGTGAGGTGAGACCTGGCTGTGAGGAACAGCGTGAGAGCAGTGCTAGCTCCTGGCAGGCACCATGACTTAGGATCATCCTGCATGCTGGAAGCACCGAGACAAGGTGGGAAGTGATAGATGGCAGAGACACAAAAGATGTGCGCTGTCAAGTGAGGTGCACATGAGGTGTGGAAGGCAGTTGCTGTGCTTGTTCCTTGGGAAACGGTGAAATACACAGCTCATCACAAGAGTCAGCGACAGACACAAGCACTAGTCGGCCTGCGAGTTTTCCCTTGAGAAAACTGACCACCATATAAGTTACCATGACTCCCAGAGCCATGTCCTAGCCCAGGAGGAAGAGAAGTGCCTGCGCAGAATGGAGACCCATTTGACTGGACGTGTCCTGCTGGGACTTCTCATCATTGGTTGTAGTGGTTCAGCTATGAGACTGGACAACTCTATATTGAATTACAGTTTTGCCCTGCTGTGTCTAACGTTTTCCAGAGATTTATTTTCTTTGGAAGCTTTGGGTTGGACAAACACTTGAAGGCACACATAGGCTCCACCCACCATCATGCAGAGTAGGCAGGAACACACCTAAAGACCCCACCCAACAAGGCTTGCCTGTGGCACAAGCCACTACTGTGTACAAATACAGGGTGGAGCCGGGCGGTGGTGGCTCACGCCTTTAATCCCGGCACTCGGAGGCAGAGGCAGGCGGATCTCTGTGAGTTCGAGACCAGCCTGGTCTACGAGAGCTAGTTCCAGGACAGGCTCCAAAGCCACAGAGAAACCCTGTCTCGAAAAACTAAAAAAAAACAAAAAACAAATATGGGGTGGAGAGATGGGAAAGAAAGAAGCTGAACAGCTTGAGCACTGTAAAGAGAGGCAGATCAGGAGACATAAGGGTGGAGAGGAACAGCCTGATGTGAGTGAGTAGGCTGTGAGGCCACCTGAGGCCGTGAAGAATTCCTGGCCCATGCTGCCATTGAAGAACAGATTGCCAAGAGGCGAAGGCTGTCCTCACTGAAAGCTTCTACTTCTAAGTCTGAGTCCAGTCAAAAATAAGTCTATAAAGGGTAACAAATAAATGATCAGACCTTGGGGGGAAAAAGAGGGAAGGAGGGGGTGATAAAAAATGAATCTGATTATAATTTTGAGAAGATAATAAGATATAGTAATGACTGTCTTTCAAAGATCTGACATTTACCCTTTCGCATATCAATGTTTGAACAACCGTGTAAGACAGTTGGTGATACTGATGAACATACTGAGTAGAGAAGTTAAAGTACTGGCGTTAGGTCATGTAGCCTTTACCTTGACAAAGCTAGCTCATAAACATTTTGTTTTTCCTCATTCTTAGTACTTGTAAGGTTTGCGTATTGACTGGGTAGAAAGTCAAGTAGTTTTTAGCGCTGGAGAGAAACGTGTAAAGGGAGTGGTAAGTAATTAGGCCTGCCTGTGGATTTGAGAGGTAGAGGTGCTGTATTTAAGTCTAGGGAATCAAGTGGACATAGATGTTCTTGTTTAAAAGAAACAAATGTAACTTTAAGTTTATTGAATCTCTTTTCTATTTGTTTTCAGGTGGATGTGTATGCTCCTATTTTAAAAAATGAGTTTAACTAGTGATGTATTAAGAGTTGAAACCTGGCTTTTGGCAACGTGGCATGTTAAAGTGCCTCTAATGTGGCTAGAAGCTTGTGTTAATTGGATCCAAGAAGAAAATAATAATGTTAATTTGAGCCAAGCACAAATAAACAAACAGGTGTTGGAACAATGGCTTCTTACTGACCTGAGAGACTTGGAATATCCTCTCTTACCTGATAACATTTTAGAAATTCCAAAGGGAGAACTGAATGGATTTTATGCTCTACAGATCAATTCTTTGGTTGATGTAAGTCAGCCCGCGTATTCCCAGATACAAAAGCTGAGAGGAAAGAATACAACCAATGATCTAGTTTCAGCTGAAACACAGATTACTCCAAAACCATGGGAAGCAAGGCCTTCCCGGATGCTGATGCTACAGCTCACGGATGGTGTCACTCAAATTCAAGGGATGGAGTATCAGTCTATTCCAGCTCTCCATGGTGGTCTTCCCCCAGGTACAAAAATTTTGGTTCATGGACGCATTTCATTCCGTCTTGGTGTTCTCTTGTTGAAACCAGAAAATGTGAAGGTGTTAGGGGGTGAGGTAGATGGTCTTTCAGAAGAATATGCTCAAGAGAAAGTACTTGCAAGATTAATTGGTGAACTTGATCCTACAGTTTCAGTTGTACCAAGTAATTCTGATCACAGTTTGCCCAGAGTTTCAGGAGGGTTGGATGCTGTTTCAGGACCTTCAGATGAAGAACTCTTAGCAAGTCTCTATGAAAGTGAAGAGCCTGCATCAAGCAATGATACATCACCCACGGAAGGAAGCTGTTTCAGCACAGGCAGCTCCTCAACTCCCACTCCCATAATTCAGTCTAGTTTTGAGCCCGGATGTAATATTTATTCAAAGCACAAGGAGAAGCCAAACCAGTCTGTGCATTTCACTAGTGGAGAGTTTGACGACTTCTCACTGGAAGAGGCCTTGCTTTTAGAGGAAACTGTCCAGAAAGAACAGATGGAAACAAACGCATTACAACCATTAACTTTGAAGAAAAACACAGATAAATGTGTAGAGATATTTTCACATAAACCTAATACTCTGAACCATACTCCTTTGATTAATAAACAAGAAAACAGCAATTGCAATGAAAAAAAATTATCTGAACAAATAGTTTACAAAGACAAATTTTTTAGCTGCCCATCTGCGAGAGACCATAAGAGACTCTTAGCCCATGATTTTACAGATGACAGTAAGACTTTGGAAGTCAGTAATACAACAGAGCAAAACATTGACAGTTCAGATGAACATTGCTCCAGTAATAAAATGTTAAACAGAAAACTAGGAACCTGTCTATCAGAAAAGAGTTCAGAGGTTTCTAATGAAAATGGCTCCCCGTTACAGGCTCAGTCTTCAAGATCAGTTGAGAATAATACTGATCTCTCTATTGACATGGACTTACATTCTCCACCCTTTATCTATTTGTCTGTTCTAATGGCCAGGAAGCCAAAGGAAGTCACCACTGTGACAATCAAAGCATTTATTGTCACTTTGACTGGGAATCTCTCAAGCTCCGGTGGCTGCTGGTGTGTAACTGCAAAGGTTTCTGATGGCACCGCCTATCTAGATGTGGACTTTATAGATGAAATACTTACCAGTATGATAGGCTTTTCAGTACCAGAAATGAAGCAATTAAAAAAAGACCCTCTGAAATATCAAAACTTCCTAAAAGGGTTACAAAAATGTCAGCGAGATCTGATAGATTTGTGTTGCCTAATGACTATTTTGTTTGATCCTTCTTCACATAAAGCCTTGGTACTTGAATTACAAGATGTTGGTGTGGAGCACCTTGAGAACCTAAAGAAGCGGCTGCATAAATAATTTGACAAAATACTATTGGAGTACACTTTAAAACATGCAAATATTTGTTCGTATTATTTTTGAAACTCTGTAAAGGAAGAAAAAGCTTTTGAGCTTAAAAATGGGTGAGATGGCTGAGTGGTTAAACAGGCTTCTGCCAGGTCTGAGGACCTGAGTTTGATCCCTTGGTCCCTTGTAGCTGAAGGAGAGAAACAACTCCCAAAATCTGTTGTCTGTCCTTCACACATGCAGCATAGAGCTTGTGCACACATAAAAACACATATACACTAAGTGACATTTAAAAATAAAGGTATCTAATCAAAATGAATGTGAAGGGTATTTTTGTTTGATTTGATAATGATGGGTCAGGACCTTGTAATGCAAGCAAGCCTCTATCATGAAGCCTAATCTCTAGACCCTTAATTTCCCCCCTTTCCTGGAAAAGATCTACATTCCCAGGCTGGCCTCAAGCTCTCTTGTACAGCTGAGAGTGATCTTGAGCTTCTGATCTTTGTCTCCATCTTCCAAGTGCCTGGATTAGGGTTCTTCGGTTTCAGTTGGTGCACTAGTTTAAACCATGACTGTATGTGCTAGACCAATGCTCTACTGACTGAGCTAATCCCCAGTCACCCATGTTGAAGAACTTTGCTGACTCATTCTTGCTGAGAAACTGGCTTTCTCCTTGTTGAATATGAGATAATGGGTAAAGAACTGTGATGGCCTGACAAAATGGCTTGGTGGTAAAGGCTGTTCCTGCTGAGCCTAATGACCTGATTCTTCTCTTGGTCCTACATGGTGAAAGAACTGTCTCCCACAAGATGTCCTCTGATTTCCACATTCGCCCCCTCCCCCGTACGCACAAGGAATTAAAAGTTCCCCTATGAGATACATTATTGAAAGTTGCAAATTGTAAAAGTAATTTTCCCCTAATATGTTCAATATTTCAAAGGTTTGTTTGTGCTGTTATTTAGGAGTCTTTATATTTACTGTCTAATATTCTTTTTTAAAAAATGCTGCAAGATCCCCATGGCAGTAGGCAGCAGAAATGCTGTAGGTCCCAAATGGTGGTGGTGGGCCATGTGGTGGCAGGCAGCAGGCTCTGGGAGCAGCCAGTCCCAGGCAGAAATGGCTGCTAGTCCCAGAGTGGTGGCCTGAGCGGTGGTGGCGGGCCATGTGGCAGCAAGCAGTGGGCCCCAGGCAAAAACGGCTGCTGGTCCCTGAGCAATGGCTGGTCCCAGGCAGGGAGATACATGGCGGGCGGGCAGAAGACAGAAACATGGATAGACACAACATGCAGGGTGAGGTTGAATGTTTATTCAGGGGGTTATGGAGGAGGAAGGGTGAAGGGGGGGACAGAGAGAGAGAAGAGGAGAAAGAGACAGAAGGGGGAAGCAGAGAAGTGGGGAGAGAGGCAGATGGGAAAGAGAGCGAGCTCAGGCCAGAAGCTGAAGATCAGCCTGCCTCAGAGGATGGGGGAGGGGTGGGTGTGGCTTGTCTCTTAAAGGGACCAAAACCATAACACTGTCTGTGTATGGTTCAGAGGACAACCTGTGAGCTGCTTTTCTCATGCCATGCAGATTGTAGAAGCAGTCATCAGGCTTGGCAGCAGCTACTTTCTTACTGGACCATACGACTGCCCTATGGTTTTTGAGATGGCATCTCACTATGTACCCCAGGGTAGTCTCAAATTCATGAGGCTTCTAGTCCTCTGAACTAGCTGTGCATATAAGTTGTTTCATTTTATTATGGCTGTTTGAAAAAGACCACACTCACTTTGCTATTACAAGATTATGTTTGGGAGGTGAAGTTACTTTAATCTTCTCTCTTAAAATTATAAATGGGGTGCTGGAGAGATTTCTTAGTGGTTAAGAACTGACTGCTGCCCTTCTAGAAAACCCAAGTTTGGGTCCCAAGATGGACTGCTGACCTGCTAGTTGTGGGGGCCAGCCATAAGCTAAGTATGGGCAGGTCACCCAAAGGAAGTTCTTTACTTCCAACCATTATCTTTAGGCATCGATAAATTTAAATGGAGGCCTGAGTCTCAGTAGTTTACCCTGAGGCTATGCCTGGTTGCAGGAGGAACCATAAACTGAGATTACCCAACCTCCACCCAAGAACAGACCATTCAAAGGAAATGCGTAGCATTCCAACTGCTGTAGATAGGATCACCTCACCAAGTGTCAGCCAATCAGGTTTCCTAAACCTCAGAAACCCATCACTTCCACCTTTACTACTATAAAAAACCAATTCTAACTGAGCTCAGGACTCTCTGTTTATTCCAATACATTGAATATGTGGAGAGACTCAGTTTGCAAACTTTTTTTTTTTTTTTTTTTTTTTTTCGAGACAGGGTTTCTCTGTGGTTTTGGAGCCTGTCCTGGAACTAGCTCTTGGAGACCAGGCTGGTCTCGAACTCACAGAGATCCGCCTGCCTCTGCCTCCCGAGTGTTGGGATTAAAGGCGCCACCACCACCCGGCTTGCAAACTTGATTAAAATAAAGGCTCTCCTTGTTGGCTTTTGCTGGGACTTGGCAGATTTGGGCATAATACTAGTAAACCCATCTCCAGTGGATTTGACACCCTCTTCTGGCTTTCCCAGGTGTGGCTGTGTGCATAGTGGATACACACACATAATTTTAAAAATTTTTGAGACGATTTCTCTGTGTAGTCCTGGCTATCCTAGAACTTGCTCTGTAGACTAGGCTGGCCTCAAACTTGGAGATTCACCTGCCTCTGGGATTAAAGGTGTGTGCCACCATGCCTGATTTCATAATTGAGAAAAACGAAGTAAGAGGATCAAGGATCAAAAGTTGGTTATTCTTGGCTACATAGAGGCCTGCTTGGACCACATGAGACTTACCTAAAAAAAATTGAATAAAAAGATGTAAAAATGTTTTTCATTGAAAAAAAAACAGTTCAAAGCACAAGAATACAAATAATAAGTTGTAATATTTCATTTGTATTTTAATAAAGTTTGCCTGAGGATCAGAGAGTAAAACAGTTGCCCTAGTCAGCCTTACAGACCAGGCCACAATAGCATACACCTTTAGTCCCAGCAGCCACACTAGTTTACTTTACAAACCAGGCAATAGTGGTGCACGCCTTTAATCCCAGCCCTAGAGAGGATTATAAAATGGGAGGAGACAGCTCTCACAGTCTCATTCTGAGATTCCTGGAGGCAGGATCACCATTTCAGACTGAGGTAAAGGTAAGAGCCAGTGGCTGGCTGTTTTGCTTTCCTGACCTTCAGATTGAACCCCAATATCTGTCTTTGGGTTTTTATTAATCATGCTACAGTAAGTATTTTTAACACGTGTGTCTTCCATGTGTTTATGTGCATACAGAGACCTGAAAAGGGCATCAAATCACCTGGAGCTGGAGTTGTTGGTGTCTGTGAGCTGCCCAATGTGGGTGCCTGGAACTGAATTTAGGTCCTCTGGAAGAGCAGCAAGTACTTTTTTTTTTTTCTTAAAGATTTATTTATTTATTATGTATAAACATTCTGCCTCCATGTATGCCTGCACGCCAGAGGAGGGCGCCAGATCTCATCACAGATGGTTGTTAGCCACCATGTGGTTGCTGGGAATCGAACTCAGGACCTCTGGAAGAGCAGTCAGTGCTCTTAACCACTGAGCCATCTCTCCAGCCCCCGAGCAGCAAGTACTCTTAACCACTGAGCCTTCTCTCCAGTTCCAAGAATACCAGATACTGTTGATACATACTCTCATAGTACTCATCTGTATACTTAAGTATCTTTATGAGATCTAAGTAGTGTGTGTGTGACATTTTCTTTTAAATAACTGTGGATTGTGATGGCTATTCTTGGGTGTCAACTTGACTACATCTGAAACGAACTGCAATCCAGAAATGGTGAGCGATTGCTTTGCTTAGTTCGAAGTGGGTGAAACCACTTCTAGTCTGGTAGGAATACTTAGACCTTTGATCCAGATTTTGAGATGGGAAGACACGCCTTTAATCTGGGCCACGCCTTCTGCTACAAGTCTATATAAGGACAGGGAAGAAGGAAGCCTTTGCTTTTTGTTGATTTGCCCTTGCCTTTTTTTTTTTTTTTTTTGGTTTTTCAAGACAGGGTTTCTCTGTGGTTTTGGAGCCTGTCCTGGAACTAGCTCTTGTAGACCAGGCTGGTCTCGAACTCAACAGAGATCCGCCTGCCTCTGCCTCCCGAGTGCTGGGATTAAAGGCGTGCGCCACCACCGCCCGGCTGCCTTTGCCTTATTAACATCCATTTCTTCACTGGCATTGGAGCCTACTTCTTTGGGATTCCAGCTTATACTGAAAGCCCGGCAAAACATTCAGCCTTATGGACCGATCAACTACTGAACATTTGGACTTAATGTTCACAGCAAGCCATGTTGGATTTGCTGGAGTACAGCCTGTAAATGATTCAATAAGCCTCCTTTATATAGAGAGAAACTCATTCTGTGAGTTCTGTACTCTAGAGAACCCTGATTAATACATGGATGGTGCATAAAAATAGATCTTCATATTGCATCACTGAATAGAAGTACGAGTCCATTGTTCTATATTCATTTTTGGTGTTTGAATTGGGGCTCTTTAGAAGATCAGAACCAATGGAATGAATATATATATATTATTTTTATATAATATATATTAATATATATATTATTTTTATATAATATATAATATATATTAATGTATATTATTATATATATATTACACAAAGAATTTATGCAATTGGATTAAGCCATTTTGGCAGGGTAGTCCATCAGTGGTCATCTGCATACCAGGGAAAATGGGCACCAGGGTCAGTCTGGCTTGAAGAGGCTTGATGCCCCAGCTGTCCCTGTCTGATGTTAAAAACCTGAAGAATTCCTGGAGAGCTACTAGTCTTGTGTTGGAAGGTCACAAAAGATGGGTTCCTATATCAGCGAAGGATGGTGGCAGCAGCCTTGGGAAAGCTTTCTATCTGGGGGAGGGGCTTCCCTCAGTCCTTCCAGGAAATACCATTACAGACCCACCCAGAAGTGTATCTTTTATTTGCTTCTAGACCCAGTCACTTGGCAAACAAGATTACTGTGATTTGGTTTGTAGTCTAAACTGTTTTGGATCGTGTTCAGTGGTTTATTAGTTGGTCTTTATTTTGTTGTCAAACCATTCTTTGTAGGGTTGCAAGAGTGCCCCTTTTTTTTCCCTTCCTGAGACAGGGTATCTCTGTGTATCCCTGACTGTCCTGGAACTCACTTTATAGACCAGACTGGCCTCGAATTTGCAAAGATTTGCCTGCCTCTGCCTCCCAAATGCTGGAATTAAAGGTGTGTGCCACCACCACCCAACTAATCTCT